ATCAATTCCTAGAGCTTTCTTGTTGTTTAGGGATTTAATTAAGTTGGAGAGTTCAGTTTGATTAAACGGTGGGTCTAGAGTGAGATTGGAATAATGAAAATTGTCTATTGGTAATAAGTTTGTGTCAGGGAAAAGATTTTCTAGTATTGGTTTCGCCTCATCTATACGTTTGGACTACAAAAGGATATTTATGGTAACCCGTGCAGAGGCCTACTCTTTTCTAGGAGGTGTTGATCATTCTCGGGGATGTTTTCCAGACCGCCGCCAATAGCTCATTGTGCAGCTCTAGTGTGACGTAAATAAATTGTTGTTGACGTATGCCTGTTTAGGCAGAGGGGGCGATTGTTTTTGTTCTCCAGTGGCGCCATCTATGGCCAAGAATTCGACTTCTGCCAAATCAAACGTCGCACCTGTTTATAGGGCGGACCCATTCATACATCCACAGATCGTAATTTTTATCTGAATCAAAGAATGATCGATCTCCAATCCAGTACCCCCAGAGATATTGATTTGTTATGGGAATACGGAGGACTTTTGCGATTCGATAGATTCAACGTGCATCAGTCACTTAAATACACGGCGGGTCTTCGGCCGGCGGGGTTCAAACCCACGAACTCTCGGACATGGGCCCAGGGCCCTACCGACCAGGCTATCCCTGTCTTTGCCAGTATTGTCTTCAGATCATCATTGAGGATGATTTTCAAACCATCTCTGTTACCGAACCTACTTTAATGACTGAGACTTTTGTTTTTCTTTATAAACTCGAAATTCTCTAAAACATTAATGTCTGTGACCTTTTGTAATTAATGACCTTTTAGAAATAATTGAGAAAATAGTTTGAAAACGTGTATTTTTTTCTTTTATTTCTTTGATCTCAAAAGCGAACACAAATTTAGACCGGTTTGTTTACCTTGATTGTTCTGTTCGAATAATGACGTAAAAGTCAAAATATTCAACATTTAAGACTACTCCTGTTACACGAATCTGTACATTAAATGATCATAAAACTTGCCATATTCAATTTAAACTGAATAAGGAAATTTAAAAAGGATAAAATGATACGAAATTGTTTAAAATTTTGTCATAAGCATTTGCTGGTCTTCGAAAGCAGAAATAAAGGCTCTCTCTGCAGGTCTGAAAATTTGAACTTTTCTCGAGTCATTTTATTTTTTTATTCTTTTTTTTTTTATTATTCCATTACGCTTTCTTTGCTGGATTTCACACACAGAAAACACCCCATGCATGCTAGAATATCCAAAATGTTACAAAAGAAGTCGAAAAAGATCAAATAAACTAATTTTTCCATTTTTTTCCAATTTTCCCAATAAAATAAAATTATTTCCTACATGCATAACCCTCCAGAATATCGAAAAACACACAGTGTGCCCCTAAAGGTATATTGCGAAGATGAGAGGAGAGAGCTTTTGAAGCTAAACTGCGGTAGGCTTCACGTATCACCGTGGACTGGAAGGCAGACCTCCAGACAAGCAAATTCGCTGCTGGAGGGAGGCAGTGGCGTACGCAAGGGAGGGGTTTAAACACCCCCCTTGAGCTCAGACAAAATGGCTAAACTAAAAATTTTAGTAGAAATTATGGGAACTATTATTTTTTAAGACTATATATTTTTTTTTACCTACTTCTTTTTCTCACAGTATTTCTCAGAATACTGAAAAAACATTTACTATAATAGAGTTGTACTTTTGAAACCAAATTCACGTGATACTGTTATGGACTGGTTCCTTTCTGTCCTGCCAGTATAGTTTTCGAGACTGGCTGTCATTTGCGAGGTCTTTACGCGATGATTCTGGAATCCTAGACGTTCTGTCGTCTTTGAGACAATTCGAGAATTTTGGAGACGCGCTGAAAAATTATATAAAAGGGGGAACGGAGTACAGTGGAGTTAGTTAGTCAGACTAAGAGTTATCTCTGCCGCTTGTCTTTCGAAGCTTATCGCTAAATCTGTTTTGTCTTAACAAAAAGTTCATTCAATCGCCGAACCCGTCGTCGCCAGTATTTCGACTAGTGAAGAAATCAGTTACAATATAAGAGATAGGGCGCTTTTTCATTACACGACACGATAACGACAAAACGGATCCGATTGTCGGCGAACGACATAGAGACAAGTAAAATACATGGTCAGCAACGGAGCGCTTTTTCACTCACCGATTCGGTAACGATTATGTCGTATCCGACAAGGCGATATCGTTTGTCGGAATCAAATGTCGGTTAGGCAAGCAAATTTCTCCTCAAATAGTGGCGATTTTATTAGTTGTTGTGTATCTTTCCTGTTTTATCTCTTTTTTTGATATCATTATTTCATTCTTTTAATCAATTTTAATATTTTATTAGATCATGTCAAATGTAAAATTCGAAAATAAAAGTTTTATATAATTTATTCTCATGTCTGGTTATAAATTTTTAATTTCATGAAGTTGCATTTTTTACATTATAATGAGGTTGAAAGACGTAAACAATCATAAAAGTTTCATTGAAAATTTTTATAAATTCATTATATGCTTTAATGAAGGGATGGTATTTTTTATAATAGTAATGGTTTGATAAGAAGGCAAATAAAGACCCTTATGTATTTCAAACAGAACTCGATCTAACTACTGGTTTCTGCTTGATTGAATAATATAAAGTCTGTTCCCTGATTCAACTGAAACATTTTTTTGAAACATGATAGAACGGCTTCATAAGATAAATTTGATAAAACTCATTTAAAAAATCATCTAAAAAGATTATTCTAAATGAAACTAATATTTTAATTCGATTTGAAAAAAACGTTAATACTTTAAAACATTTAAAGAATTTAAGTAATGTTAAGTGATTACAGACATAATTTTAAGTGTAGATTGGCGGCACTTAAAAACCGCCAAATCTGTAGCTGCGGTGGCGTTAATACGTAAGTACCATTTCGTGCACCCAAAAACGTTTCTGCACTGCTAGCTTTTTTCTTCTAAAATAAAGTAAGAAGTTTGAGACGACGATTATCATCCGGCATATTTAAAGTTTGCAGAAAAAAATCACAGCAGAACACAAGCAACTGCTCACTTGTTGGGTCTTTGTGCCAACTAAATTAAATGAACGCCAATTTACGATACTACCAATAATTTTATCAAAAAAATAACATATTTTATTTCTTAAACATTTTAGAACACAACAACATTTATTATATATCTAACTCCGTTGCCAAAACGAATTCAAAACTAAAACTTATAATTTTTCAAAACACGTTCAAATAAATTATTTAAATTTTATGTCTCTACACACTCAAGCTCAAAACATTGAATGAACAAGAATTTCTACTTCTCGGACTAACGATATCGGACAAGTGAAAAAACAATTGCTTAAACGATCCGGCAACGACATTGTCGTTCACACATTTGTCGTCCGATTTTGTCGGTATCGTGTCGTGTAATGAAAAAGCGCCCATACTGTGCTCGTTGAAGTTATTCATTCCAGCTCGAAACTTTGAGATCGTAGCATAGCGGATATTTCTGTGCCAATATATACATATATTTGCTTTTCTTTAGGATTTAACAATTTTTAACGCAAGAATTTAGCAATTGTTAATTATTTTGAGAAAAAATCACGATCTGAAATTAATAAGGTGACAGCATCTAGTACCAATGTAAGTTTTTCTGTTGTACAGAAATGTGATACTTCCGTTGAAGAAAACGTTTCTAGCATAACAAAATCTGATGAATGTGAAAGTGACCCTCAAAGTGTTACTTTCCACCCATATGACATTAAACATTTTTCAGAAAATATTACATTATGTTCTTAAACATAAAAAATCAAATCAAAATTTAACTAAACAATGTTGTCTAAATAAAAATTCAAAATTGTCTAGCTGTGGAAATTCTTATTATAAGCACCCCCCTTGAAAAAATTCTGCGTACGCCACTGTTCACTAGTATATGAGACATGTTAACTCGATTCTAAGTGGGAGTACCTAATCATAGAAGAAGGTTGACATTGTCGATAACTACTCTTCCCACAAAAGTTAACCTAAACATGGGTGAACTTTATAAAAGACTTTCACAATCAACTGAAACACAATTTTTTTAAGGATACACATAAATAGCTCAGTAAAGCATACATGTAAATAGCTAAGCTCAGATTACTCACAATTTCAGGTAGCTTAAGTATTAAAATCAGCACTAAAAATTACTTCAATTGTTATTCAGCAGTAAAAGAAATTTTAAAAAATGAAAGATTTAATCACTGAAGAGCAATTCAGGTAGGCTAATTTATTTATATGAAGAAAAATAATACACATCACACTAGAATTAACTATTTAAACTTAAACAGAAAATAAAATCAATTATACACAATGGTTCTTTGCACTTAAAAATCATACATTCTTTTCAAGTGACAAACATTATATAATAAAACTATTAAAGTAAATTTAATTAATTACCACACACATTTATGAGTGAACACTAACAGAAAATTTAAGGGGAAAATTCCCAAATTAAAAAAAAAATCCAAGCTAAATGAGAAATCTTTGCAATTAACAAGTTAACATTACAGATACATTTATATAAGGAATCTGAAAAATTACGCACATATATATATCAAAAATATCTTTTTAAAAACATTCAGGCCAACTTCAAGACTTTGCTTAAGATTTCACCACTAAATTTGAACGGTTGTCTCAAAAACATTATAAAATCAATATATAATAATGTATAATTATAGATATTTAAGACAAATATTATAATATAAAATATTCTCATTATTGTAGAACACAAACTGGTTCATGCTCTTTTAAACTTTGAAAATAGGTTTAAAGCTTTTGCATTTTGTAAATTAAATTAGAAACAAACAAAGATGATAAAAAAAAATCACATGATTTACGAAATTTTTTAAATTAAGAGGTATATAAATCTTGACTAAAAGGTAACATAAAACAGTACTTTCCATAAATGTAAATATATAAAATTTAATATATAGCATCCCATGAGTGACATTTTGAATTGAAAAAAAGAAAATGAACGAAGACAGCTGTTTATTTCAAACTAGAGGAAAGAAAATTATAGACAATCATCTCACAGAGATTTTATCATCCTTAAATAAAAATCTTTTCACACAGTTTCACATTATTCTTCATCCAATTTTAATCGCTTCTCAGGGATATCACAGCTTAAGTCAAAATCTGCATCACTTATATCTAAAGTTTCATTGAGATCACCCCAAAAATCACTCAAACATGTTTGAGCCACATCATTTCGTTGCAGAGTATCGGCAGACTTAAAGTTATCTTTGCTCAAGCCAGCTTTATTTAGAACATCTAATTTAAGCTGCACGAGCGGCCATATATCATCATCCGCAGTACCCTTGGCGACTAAATACTGAACAACAACGGAGTCTTCCTGTCCGATACGATGGGCTCTATCCTCCGCCTGAGTCAAAATACCGGGATTCCAGAAAAGCTCGGCGAACACGACCAAGCTGGCAGCAGTGAGTGTGAGGCCGCAATTCGCCGACGTTATGCTGAGAACTGCCACTCTACACGCATCATTTAATTGAAATTTATCACAGAGTTTCTTCTTATCTTCGGACGACACGTTGCCGTCGATGCGGATATAATCTACTTTTTTCGCCTCAATCGCAGCACTTATACCATCCATCACGTTCCGGTGGTGCGCAAAGCATATAAATTTCTTCTCAGATTCCAAAAGATCGGTTATATATTCGACGACAGCTTTCAGTTTCACTTGTCCCGTCTCGTGGTAATATTCCAGCAGAGCAGCTCTTTTTTCCATTCCTTGCAAATTCTCTTCGTGCACTCGGCTAGACATCATTTTCAGAATCGAACTTTTCTTGGACAAAGTTGGATTCAGAACTATCATTTGACGTATTTTAGCAGGCAACTGCTTTAAGACGTCGGATTTCAATCTGCGAATCATCAGCACCTCCTCCAGCACGAGTTGTAGTTCTTCCATATTCGAAGAACCGAAAAAATCAAGGCCCCAGGGCATCTCCTTACCATTGCAATATCTCATCCCATATTCCTTATAACTAAACAAATCTCTCCTCAGAGCAGAAATTTGAGTGAAAAGCTCGATCGGCCTAGACAACACGGGAGTGCCCGACAGCATGATAATTCTGTTCATACCTCTCATTACAGCTTGAGATGCTTTCGTCCGCACCGCTTTATGATTCTTTAAAAAATGGCTTTCGTCGAAGATTACGGATTTGAATCCTCTCGCAATAATGGCCTCTTGAAGCTTGGAAAGTAGATCGTAACTTATTATGACAACCTTATTATTCGGTATGTGATCTTTGCCAGAGGAGATAATGCCTATTTCTTGCTTATCTATAGAGGGTAGCCAAGTACAAAAAGATTCGAACCAGGCATACCTCAGGGAGGAGGGAGTGACGACAAGAAGAGGCCAATCCTTGGAAAAATAATTAGCGATTGCTATCGCTTGAATAGTTTTACCTAGGCCCATGTCATCTGCAATAAGAACTTTTCCCCCACGTTGTAAGGCAAAATAAACTCCCTCCTTCTGAAATGGGAGTAAAGATTTCTGTAATTTTGGATCTAACGAGGACAAATCTCGCTCATCAATTTTTCGATTTTCAGAAGCATTGGAAAAAATTTTCAGAATAAACTTTGGCAAAGGTATGACAAATGTTTTCGGCTGCAGAGGCCTGGCGAGATTTATAAGTTTATCGTGATCATCGATATGAAAATTCCATTTTTTTGTCTGGGCATCATATAACTTGCTCGGTATACTTTTGAATACATCGATAAGTTCCTTGTTATAACCAATATTTACAAAAAATCGTTTTCGAGATACAAGTACACAAGGACCTTTTACTCTGATCTCAAAAGGATTTTTTGTTTTTATATTTTCGGAAGTTTTATTATTGAGCAAAGTCTCATTTGGTTTAAATTTGGAAGACAAACTACGTGCACTAACAGTAAAATTGCCTTCAGGGTCCTTTAGCAAAAATGGTCTATGGATGCTTTTTGCAGAAGAAACTGAAGACACAAAATTCTTGCTTTTTGTTGTAGCTGGTGCTGAAGATGAGATACAGTTACTGAAATTTGATTCATTGGCAGACCTTTTAGCTCTAATTTCTAAAGCCTTTCTTCGATTTTCTTCTATTCGTTTTCGTTGCTCTTCTGTAAGTTGACTCATTTTAAAACATAACTTTTCAGTACAGGCGCAAACAAAATCCTACAAAACAAATTATCAAAATTAATAAGAATATTAAAAAAAAATGTGAAGAATACGCAAGAATTAAATTTAAATATTCTGAAATAAATAAGCTACTTTAGAGAGAATGCAGATCATGTTCGAAGAAATTTATTTAGATAGTTTAATGACATTAAAATAAATGGTTAACTAAAAAAAAAAACAAATTATAGTTATTACAATGTTATTTTTTAATTTCAAATAATTTAATACAGTGCTGCATCTTTTGTTTTCACGCATGTATCAGAAAATTTAAACAAGTTTCGGCACACTTTAAAAACAGATTTAAATTATCAAATACATCAAGTTTTTATAAATCATATTTAAAACATAAAATTTACCTATATGAATAGAGCAGCTACTTAAGCTCTATTGAAGTTACATTTTAGGTGAAAGGACATGCACTGTCAGAGGTCTGTCCAGGTCAAATTTAATACCGTTTAGCAGTACCTTCACAAATTCAACTTTAGGAAAAATACTTTACATTAAAATTTTACTATTGTATCCCTTAAGAAACGATAAATCCATATTTTTGTGTTGATTTTTAATACTACTTTTTTTCCCAAATTATGTCTACATTTTCACAAAATAATTTAACTAATAATAATTTAATTAATAATTTTAAAATAATAAGCATCTTGGAGATTGTTACAAATTTTGTGAACAATCGCCAAGATGCTTGACGCATTTACAGACCAGATCCAAACATACGGAGGTTTATGAACTTGTAGAAGAGTAGAACTTTTTCTCAATGAAAAGGAATCTTTTCCAGGGCTGACTGAGGCTCAGTGCCGAAGCTTTTGATAAGCATTTGTTGGAAGAATAATTCCACACTGCTTAAACATAGTTTTTTAATTTTTTATATTCAAATGTGTTCTTAAGACACACGTTTCTAATTTCAGTTTTTCTTGACGAATTTCATTTACGGCTACTTCCGCTGCTGAATTTTTTCGCAATTTCTGCGACAATTCTCTCTAGTACTAATACCTTTCTGACAGACATTTTTAATCATAGCAAATATATGTTATCAATATAAAACAGAAGCGCTGTTTACAAAAAAAAAAAATCCTTCATGTAAAGAACAGTATATAATTTTTTTAAAATATAAAAGTAGGAATTTTTTTAAAAATCTAAATATAAAAGAACGCATATTCTAATATTGGCACTATTCTCCTTTTCTAAAAAATATTTGTATAGTCAACTGTCAACCTTTTTTAAATTTTTGCTATTTGGCTACTACTTTTTATAATGCAGTACAGAACCCGTTATCCGGAAATCAGAAAACCGGAACAAAATTCGGTAAATCTTCCCGCCGTTTTTAAAAAAAAAAAAATTTTTCCTCGTAAAATTTTAGGATTTTTCTTTTTTGAAAGATGTTTACCTTACCATCATTTTGGAAATAATCATTAGTGTATTACTTCATATTTTTTTCTTCTTTTTAAGATTATATCCAAATATATTTTTTTTAGTTGCTTTCAACAATAAAAAAAACGGCTTTTTGTAGCGATTCAGAAAACCGGAAAAATCAGTTATCCGGAATAGCGATGGTCCCGATCGTTCCAGATAATCGGTTCCCTACTGTATCAATCTAAATTCTAAAGCCAGTCATTGCGTAATTCTTTATTTCTCGAAAGGAAATAGGAAAAAAAAAATTTTAGAATTTAAAAAAAAAATTTTTCACAGACTTTTCGCTAAATGTTATTTATTAATTGAATATTTAACTCCTTAACTGCGAAAAAAACACACATGACCAATATCATAAAAGAAATAACTAAGTATGTCTTAAAAAAAATAAATTTTCCCTTATTTTCCAGCAAATGTGATTTAGTCACAATAATTTTAAAAGCTAGCTTACAAAATTTAACAACTTCCCTCAGTCTCTGGAAATTTATTATAATTTTCCTAATATTCATGTAACATTTTTTTTGTGTTTTTACATGAAGAAAAATCTGTAGATGAAATGTAAAAAGATTCTTTTAATTTATTTTGAATACTGCCTTTGAATGATGATATTACTTTTCATTCTTACCAACAAAGTAATTTCAAAAGATGCCACAGTGAACTGATCGCAAAGACATGGTTCCCAGTAGAGCACCCAAGTCAAGCAACACTGGCTGAGGTCAGTAAGCGGGTGGGTGACCACTTGGATCAGCCTTCGAAGAGACCGAGGATGCACGGTATCGGTCCTCATTGGACTTCTATCGTAAAGTGCTTGATTTCGCACAAAGATCGGTTTTTCACAATATTTTTTTTTAAATTGTGACGTAATTTAAATAAAAGGGTTTTGGACAGTTTTGGTCAGAACGGTTTATAATATCACAGATTAATCCATTCTGTCCTAAATCTTGGCAACTCTGCATGATTTCAAATATTTATTTCAATATTCAAATATTTATTTAAAATGAAAATTACTAAGAAATTTTCCAATTCTTTCACCAGGGTTAAGTTCTGTTATGCGTTATTTAAGAGCTATTACTATATCCCTATCTTACGTAGTTGAATAACTTTTTAGCTCTGATTACCAACCAAACATAATGTAAGAATGTGCAACATGATTTGGATATTTTTAAATCATACATTTCACAAATAATGAGAAATATTTAACCACTATACATGAGGAAGCTAATCAAATTATTATGAAATAAAATTCATCATACATTTCACAAATAATGAGAAATATTTAACCACTATACATGAGGAAGCTAATCAAATTATTATGAAATAAAATTAACACTTCGAACTTGTACTGGAAAATCGCAATTATGATCGAACATAATTGCCTATACACTTCCACATTTAGTTAATATTCAATGAAAATGTTACTAACATTATATATCGATGTATCAATTATTTTAATGAATCATAATTCGTTTCTGCACACAAATTTTCGAATTACAACAAATTCAAAACAATGCTACGCGGTTTCTCATTTTAAATGTAAACAGAAAGTTGTTGCCATACTAAAAATGCTACAGATAAAAATGTTATTGATCGTGTCTTGGGATCGTGTAAAGCTCAGCGCAGATGGCGCTGGGGATCATAAAACTGCCATTAGACTTCCGGGATACTATTTCCGAAAGATTTTTACTGCAAAACTTGAATAAACGCGCCATCCAAATTTTACTATACTTGTTGCATTTTTAATACAATTTATTTCTTCAATTTAAGTTTCAACGAAACAACCAAGAAATGAATTTGTTAAACTCCGCAAGTTTGCTATGATGCTACCTTAGAAGTAATTTTACATAAATATAGCCAAATAAATTATAACACTCAAAACATGGCAAACGTTTCACTTTAATTATGCTGTGATATTAAATTTGTTTTAGACTCGCAACCTGTTAGAATCTATAAATTACAGAAAAGTTTTATGAATGGTAAAATAAGGAGCAAATTAAGCAAAATAAGCATGGCATAAACGGAGGGATACAGCACATGTTTTCTAAATTTCTTACTGTTTTAGGAAGCTTTTTATTGTTTACATGCAGTTAACCATCTGTTAGCTGGATCAAGATAAAAGTAATTTGCCCATTACCCTGGCCCGATTATTGCCTAGGCCCAATAGGCATGGGCCTAGGGCCCACACTTTCTGGGAAGCCTCAAAAATTAGTAAAAAGTCCATAATATTACTTTAAAAAAATACTGAAAAAGTCAGTTTTTCTCAAAAAAAAGCATTTTTTTTTTATTTCAAATTTTCTCAATATTGTGATAAACCAAACTCGAGTAAAGATTGCACTAATTAAATTCGAAAGTACAGCTGAATTTTAGATGGTGCAATTTTTATTCCAACAGCTTGAGCAAATGCAACGAGAAATCATATTCGCTAAGTCTGTTATAAATGATTAGTGTCAACAAGAACTAAAAGCTTATTCTCAACAAATATGTAAAGTTGAGGATAGAAGGCGGTGACTTTTAGCAAAAATCACTGATTTCAATTTTTGTGATCACCAAACTATTTTATTTTCATACAACATTGTTTTGTTGTTTCATATTTTGCTTTAATATTTGGATGCGTAAACTTTATCTTTGAAAAATAATCTTCAATCATCTGCTTTCAAAATTTTTTAGAATGCTTCTCCTAAATCATGTGATTCAATAGATTCTTTTTATTTGTTAGGACTACTCTTCAGGAATTTAATTTCAAAATATTTTGTTAGGGTCCCGGAAAATTTGGTGGGCCTTGGGCCTGAATTTGTCTTGATCAGTCCCTGCCCATTACCGGTTGGTGAGAATCTGCAAGAACTGGAATTCCATGTGTAATAATTTAAAATTATTTACATGTGTATCTGGAAAATTTTCATGTTGATCAAAAATGTTTAATTTTTTTTTTTTTTTTTTTNTTAATTTTTTTTTTTTTTGCAACTTCATTTTGGAATGTTCATGATGCCTATTACAATATGTAACAGTTATAAAAATAACTCAAAAAGTCAAACTGTTGAATTGAATTCTTTAGGACTTGCTTTCATTTCTATTAACTTGTGTAAGATTAAATTTTATTAGTTCGAAGTTACATTATTTGATTGAAGATTGAAAAAAAAAAACTTTTTTTCTTTCTGGGAGCATACATAAACAGATACGTAAATTATTTTGTAAAACAATTGTTCGTTTTGCTTGCATAGATACAGCACTTAATGTATAATATAGAGTGTGTTTCATAAATACCGTTCTTGATAAGTATATTCATATAACTCTTATCAAAAAGGAAAACGAAAAGTACGCAAATAACAATTAGTAAAGTAAGGGGAAAACAAATACACTGTTGAATTCTGACAAATTACAATTTAGAAAAGCAGATGTGATAAACATCAAAACAGGTTTAATTGGTTGTTGAAATCAAATCAAATGTGTCATTTAATCAAATGTGTTTTGTTGTATATTTCTTTCGCCTTCCTGAACAGTGATTTGTCAAATTTCGATAGCCTTTTTTTCTTTTGTTAAATAAGTTTGTGAACTCCAATGTTGTTTTTAAATTTTTGACGAGGTTTCTTAAAAATAATATTAAGAGCTATCCTCCCTATGTAGAAATCCCATTATGCTTAGAAAAATCCAATATTATCAAAGTAAATTGAAAATTTTAATTTATGTATTTATAATGCCTTAATGGTAAGTTAAGGCATTATAAATACATAAATTAAAATTAAGGCATTATAAATACATTAATGCCTTAATGGTAAATATAAGGCATTATGTATTAATAATGCCTTAATGGTAAGTGTGGTACTTATTGTAATTCTCTTTTGAAAACTTCATTCGCCCCCAAAAATATACGAACTGGAAGCAAACATTCCACATGATTCAAGGGCTCTAAAATAGGCACTTAAATTATTTTTTTTTCAAATTTAAAGCAGTATCTTTTTTTGTGAATTTTGAGCATAGCTTAAATTTTTTTATTATTTTTTCGAAATGATATTCCATGGAGACAAATTTAATTTTACGTGGTGTAGACCATTATGAAACACTTCCATTACTTTCAAATAATTGATTTCACTAAAATATATTAAAAAATTAAGAAGGTTTTTAGGTTTGAAATTGTGTTAAAATCTTATGAAAATTAGAAGGGGAAGTTGTGGGTTTTGCACAAGCAAAACGTTTAGAGTTATTCCTTAAAGAAACTAGATGTTTATTAAATGGTAACCACTAATTCTACAGAAATCACAAGGAAAATGTAAGTCGAAGGATAATAATTTAATGCAACAGCATAAAAAAGTTAAATTAATTATGAAAAAATTGAGTTGAAACATTTTATATGTAATTTTTTTTTTATCAAATACTTTTAAATGATGAATTCTTATCTTTTATGGGTTGAGAGAATTTATATGTTAAGTGTCTCTTCTTCTGTGATTAAAATAAATTGTATTGTATCACAGCCAGTTTTCACTGGGCATGTTGAACATCTCTTATGTAAAAATCACAACTTAAAAAGAGGTTGGTAGAGCGGTAGCGAAAGTGTTCAGACAAAACTGTTTTGACTTTAGTGGACTTTATACTTATCTTAACCAGCTATTAGTTATTTTTGTTCTAACAATTTTTTTTAATTATTATCATGGAAGTAAATTTAAAAACATCTATTTTCTGAACAGTGTCTTTTATTGGGTTAATGGTGTTTGACTGTGTAAAATTGTTACATTAAAGTTTTTGAATTATTTCTAAACACTTAATCTGAGAAAATTTGCTAGTATATATTCTTTACAGGTTAAACTTTAAATTATATTTTTATTATTAAACTGTTCAGTATTCTCTCTTTAAGTTTAAACGTCTTCGAATTGTTGTATATTGTAAAATTTTAATGTTTATATGGATGGTGTTTTCAATATAAATGTAAACAATAACAATCTCGAGCTCCATACCTGCTCTAGTTCCGGATAGAAAGTTCGCAACTGCTTACTACAGCTTAATCTGCGAGGCGATATTTTCAAACGGATAATTTTGTTTTCAATAAAAGAAGTAAATTAGATAATTTCTGAGCTCAAATCTACCGTTTTCATAAGGTATTAATGTTATGAAGTAATTCTAGTGAGTTTGAAGTAAAAATTTGTTTTAGTTATTTATAGATATATTGTTAAAAAATGTGACATGGTTGCTTTTGAATAACTCGCTTTTTAGGCAGTCTTGATTTGGCCTCTTTCCATTTGTTTATTACTGTATGTTCTTGTTGCAAGCTGTGCACCATATAGTGTTATCACCTTTAACTTTGTAAACACAAGTATTGTTAGCATTGTAAACATAAGTAATCAAATACTACGTTTGCAAGAATCTCAAAACACAATGATCACGTTGTGAGACAAATGACTTTAAAATATATTGGAAACAGTAACCCGGATGTATAGGCGGTATGGAGCTTGCAGCCTTCCCTAGTGTAGAAAACACCATCCATACTGCAAGACGTATGTGTATTTTACGTAAAATGTTTCCAAATCTTTGTATGTATTTGTTTTCTTCCATTAATTTTTTGTTTCTTATTATTCTCATCTTTTTAGGTTCTGGAAATTAGTTAAAGAGTTTATGGCTGTGACCTTGTAAGTCTGTACAAGGAAAGTCTCAGCGAATTCCAGTTAAGTTATTAAGTTTGGAAAAGAATACCTGCCCTTCACTTCCAAAAAACAGCACCTTTTGCTGACCACACATCTATCATGCCCCTTATTTCCTTTACTGGCAACTTATTATTAAAATCAACATTAACACCAATTATTTCAAAAGGTATTTCACTGTATTTCATTCTTAAACATTTTTAACGTCTTTAAAACGTGTTATTCAAACTTCTTGTCTTTGACATTTTTGCTTTTCATAAAGTAGAGAGCTGTACGTAATTCAATCTACAATCAGTACACAAGAACAGTCCACTGTAGAAACATATAATTTTAAATTAAAATAATTATTCAAAACAAAAAAAGAGAAATGGGTTAAGATGTCAAGTTAATTTTAGTCTTTTTATTGTTATTTTAACATTAAGTATGCAAATTTTTCTTATAACGAAACCACGTTAAAGGAACAATTTTAAGAACTATTATGAATTTCTCTATTTTTCTTTTTCGAATTTCTCTAACACCGTTTGGTGATAGAGAAATTCGGCAAAAGAAAAGCTTGGGAAGAAAAAAAAGAAAAACAGCAGCGGTCGCCATAGCAACGCATGCGTACTGTTTACTATTACTTTTGAACACAGTTAAAAAGTGTGTGGACGATATCCAATCCTAACCAAGATCCGTTTTGCCAATGGGTAAAAACATCAAGAAAATCAAAAATTTATCTAAAATCCAAGATGACGTTTAAAGAGTAATTTTTTTATGATTTGGTGATAGTGATATATCCTTTCAATTTAAGAACTCAAGAACGATTTCATTGTAAATGATTTAATCGTCATTTTGTACAATAATTTAAAGTCTCTTAATTCAACAAATGAATAAATATATTTCTTTTCTCTGTAAATTATATCCGTGTCCTTTTCAGTGAGCTGCTTCGTTTTCTTTCCTCACGAAACTCACAACACCTTCTGGACTCTGATCCGGACTGTGGGGTGCGCTGTTATTCATACGAGAATAATATTGCACATTTTGATTGACTAGATTGGTATTCTCTCCTTCCATCTTTTGAACTGTTTGGGGCATCACTTTGGCAAAGAACACCATGATACCTGGAGTGGCTGCAAAGAGAACAACTATGAAGTACAGTCCCTGATGGTCATATTAATCGACGCACTCTAAGATTCTATGCAAAATCTTAATTATCAGGTGATACTCTATACAGCTCTTATTGGCACTGTTTGCACTTGTTTACGTTCGTCTATCAATGGGTTGACATTGTCATGCAATACGTTAAAAATAAATACAAATAGGAAGTATGTATAAAAAATCTCCTGAATAAAAACCCATTACATGTATGTATAAATATAAAAGTATTGCCTATAAACTCGTGCAAATCATGTCATTATTCAAAAACTACAGTGCGTCTCATAATTTGATCTAATTATTATAATATATTAATACTAGTGGGCTGCGCCCCTGCTCGCTAACGCTCGCCAACCCCCGGAAATTGCTACGCAATCTTATATGGTTTGCTTCGGAAACCAAGCTCGCTTCGCNAAAAACATGCATAAACAAATAAATTCGTGATATAAATCAAAAATCGTCAAATAAATTCGTAATATATAAATTCGTGAAAAAAAAGCTTTCAACAAAATACTAAAATAGAGATCTATCGACAAAGACTACTCACTTCTGCCTAGCTTATGCTCTCTCTGGTTATTTCAGCTTCCGTTTTTAAAAGCGCTATATGTTGAGCCACCTCAGCTAGATTTGGAATGTGACACTTTTAGCGGCAATCATGGGTCGATTCGCCGTGTAAGAGAAATAGTAACGTAAACAAAACAAAGCAAACGCTGCCACCGGCGGAAAAGAAATTCAGCCAAAATTTGGGAGCCACGTAAGAGAATTATATATATTAGATAATGCTTGATATAATAAACATTCTATATTTATATAATATATCGTCTAATGTATCCTATCCTCAAATTTATATTATTCATCGTCTAATTTATGTAAGTGATACAGGAACGTAAACAAGTGCAAACAGTCGATGTAAAAACAATAAAGCTGTATAGAGTATCACCTGATAATTAAGATTTTATATAGAATCTTATAGGGCGTCTAATAATTTGGACAGGGACTGTAATTTTGTTACAATAATAATATTTAGTCAGGGTGGTCCAATAAATAGAGCTTTCACTTGTGGGTAGTCTTCTCTGGTTTCATTCCTTACCAAAAAAACTGGATTGTCTGATTGAACTGCATTTCCGCCAAACGCGTTTTAGTGGTTTAGAATCCACTGTTATGTAATGTTCTTTGTATTTCAGTTTTTATTTGATATACCAGTGTTGAATAGCAGACCATTTTCGGGCTTACGGTTATCAATGTTCGAATCCGCGGCTTTGTAATTTTGAACACAACCTATAATTCAAGGGAACTACTGGATCAAACGTTGAGACAAACAATCCTCCACGGAGGACTTTTTTATGGAATCTACCAAAATGTGCGTTACATAGTGAAGAAAATCTCCCACAATGATTGGAGCCAGACTGTATGTTTTTGAGAGATTCTAACTCATGATCTGTCTACCACTGAGGATATTTTTACGTGCGAATGCACCTTAAGTGTGGGAAGTTTTCTGGATTTTTTTCTCTCCACGTAATGTAAACGAAGTTGAGTATCGCTCGACAAATGCTCTACGAAGACAAATGTAATCCTAATATCTAAAACAGATGTTCATTATTTTCGGATTTTGTTCAAAATTTCACGGCAACAGATCTAAACTTAGTAGTCTGATATCTAGGGGATGGAGTTCGGATGTTTGACCATGTTAGGCTAAACACTGGTAGAAAGAATAAGAGGCTTCAGGGTAGGATAGACCACACGCTGAGGAAGAGAGCGGGAAACAATGGGCATACAGGAGGGGAAATTGTCAACTGTTTGCATTGGCTTAACGCACATCCTAATGCTAATGTATAGAAATTCGCCTTAGATACACTTCTTGGTTCCCATGTGGTGCATAAAATCATCGCCAACAGATTTAAAATGTAATGTAACACTAGAACAGAACGGTTGATATCTTACTGTCTGGTTTGAGGAGTGTGAGTCCGACAAGCCACAGTGTCATATATGCAATAATTGAAATGAAGCAGAGGATCATCCCTATCACCAGAAAACTCGTTGGACCAGCTCTCTCAAACTCCTGAAAGAAACGAAAACTCGCCCATGAGTTTCCTGATAATTAACATTTTCGAAAGAAAAAAAAGGTTGGGCTAAAAGAAAGGATTCATCACTGTTATTTACTTATGCTCGTTACCATCAAAATTATTGACCTAGAATAATGAGTTATCAGAATGAAACGAAATTCTACGTTCGTAATTAAAATGTTGATATTAAGTAAGTGATTTGAGAAATCAAAGTAAAGTGATCATTTACAACAGGAAAAATACAAATGAATGGAGGTTTTAGTACTCTTTTGAAAAAACCTCTACCGCGAATGCAGGATATGATACGGTCAGGCATTGAAGTATACAAGTCCTGTATGATGTCTCGCGGCGTCTCGTTCTGCAGATGTTGTAGAAACATAACTAAATCTGCAAAACTTGGAGGATGTCTGTTATCGACACTGTATGAAAAGGTACCTTCATCTATGAAAAGGCTGGTATGATGATATGGGGTACTATTGCATGCAGTACACAATTACCCATAAGAATGATCAACGGTGCCATAACAGTGGGACTTTCAGAACATCCTTCAGCCACGTGAGGTGATTTTGCATGGAATTATCTTTAAATAAAGAAACTTTGTAATTGTGGGCAAAAATTTTTCAATTGACTTAAAACGTTCTCGAGATATAATGAAATGCGCAAAAAGTAAAATTAACATTAAGGGGCCCAAACTTTGGACCGTTCTCCTAACCTAACTGTTGGGATCATATTTCTCAGATTGCGGCTATCCCTATATTTTCGGAGTCAGAAATCCAAATTCGACGAAAAAAAGGTATGCTTATTCCAAGAAAGTACGTTTTTGTGTCTGATTTCGTAGCTTAAAATAGTGTTAACTTTAATTCGCTAGCATATAGCTCGTCGAACCTTTAATTGAACATGAAGATCCGATCATTAGATCAAAAGTAATTTTGGGTAGTCCGTTTCTTATTTGGCGTACCAATAGTATAAACCAATGTACAAAATGCTTAAATTTGTATGCCAATAATATTCTGATTAATTCTATTTTTTTAATAAAAAAAAATTCATTAAAAAATATGCATGGTCTTACATGGCCAATGATAACGGGCATTGTCATTTCTCCAACAGCAGCTCCAAACACAAGGATACTCGTTGTTGTCGCTAGATTAGAAAAAAATAAATAGTTTTTGATTAGTTTATAAAATCACTTAATGATTTATTTATTCTTATCCATATCATCGTATCTATATTTTCTAAGCACTCATTTTAGAACAGAAATTTGTGTTAGTAACATCGTGGTTATACTGCCCAACCTGACAAAGTTAGTAACTGGCTAAAAAGGAGAAGAAAAAAAATGCCCCATTCATTTAAACGCTCGTTTCCATTTTGAGGAAAAAAAGCCCAAGTCAATATACATAGCCAATCATACCCAGATAGCAAAATAAGGTTAATTTTCACTCAGCAAAAACCTTTTTAATGTAAACCTAAAAAGGTTTTTAATGCGGTTTAAGTGTGAACCTTCTAACCTTTAAACAAGATGTGTGACAATCTGCTCTAGTCTACGCACATTACCCGAATCCAAAACCTTGGTGAGAAAACAACCTTCTATATTAAAACCTGAAATTTGAGGTTGTCTTAAGGTTTTGAAGCGAGGAAAAAAAATCCTTGAATAAAAACTAGTCTTAGGGTGAAAATAATCTTAAATCTAGGTCATTATAAGATTTCTTTTCGCAACGTCTTGTATGTTCGACTAAGTGACAATACATTTTAGAAAAGCTTTAAAAAATAATATTTAATCCTTTTAGGATGAAAGGTTTGAAACTGCACTATTTTTGCTTTAATGAAAAAAGGTTTTTAGTACAAACATTTTCGCGACAATAAAAAAAAAATAATAATTCCAAGACAAGGTTACCGTAAGGTTACATGCTTTCTGGAATAATTTCGTAACATGGACCAAAAATGATGTACACTCTTCCAAGATCAAAATTTCTTCTGTTGAAAGTTTCAAAATACAGTTAATCAGTTGTACTTGACTTTGGCATTTGACTGAGTCACTTTAAGCAACATACCCACGATATGCTTTTTTTTAAAAAAAAAAATCCTTCAATAAATTATATTTTATCTATACTTACGTGTGACGTGTATATATTGCTCTGTGAGTGAGAGTGCAGTTGGGAATACGCTGCTCATGAAAACCCCAATAATGCACGTTCCGAAAACTAAGACTACGTAGTTGTATCTTAGAGAAAGCATAAGAAGAAGTCCTGCAGTGCAACCCATCTACGAGATCGAAAATATATATTATAAAAAAAATATCGAGTAAAATACAGACAAACCCCGTTATAGTGATCTTCCGGATATAGTGAACGAAATATTCGCTCCCGTGCCTTGCTAACACACGTATAATGTTATTTTTTGTGGATATAGTGAACCAAAACAAGTTGGATATTATGAACTTTTTTTTGTCTTCGACTGATCTATTTTCTTCATTTTTTAAGTAATAATTTTGAAATTTCTACTTCAAAATAAATACATACACCGATGTTTGAAATCATCTACAGCATGCAATGTAGAAATAAGCAATTTTTCTTGTTTGCTTCATTATTGAAGTGGCTCAGCATTCAAAAAAGTCGCCATCTTCCACTATCTTGGACGATTGCTTGAAGTCAAAGCAGATGAATTTGCTAAGCGATTGGGTGAGACTACTTTTATGTGCTCGAATTGCTGGCTAGACAGGCTTAAAAACCGGAATAGTCCCGCAGTGGACCGATCGTTAAGACACGGTTCCCAGCAGATCACCGAAGTCAAGCATCACTGGCTGCTGTCAGTGTGCGGGTGGGTGACCACTTGGATCAGTCTGCGTGGGGGCCCAGGGTGTGCGGTATGGGTCCTCGTTAAACTGTTCTACCGTCAAGTGCTCGACTTCGCGTGCAGGTCGTTGGGCTACTGAAGCGGGTGTGCCCCCTCTGCAGAGGAACAAAATTATGATGGCATGTCTTCGGATCATCCTCCGGGATGTTTCCCAGACCGTCGCCAATAGCCCATTGTGCAGCTCTAGTGCGACGTAAATGAACTACAATTACAAAAATAAAATAAATTCAGGAAAAATTACCGGAGAGTTGGGAAGTGTTTCCATATCTGATGTTGAGGATTGCTCATCAGCTATTTTTTTTTTAATGCAAGGCGAAGAGTAATAAGAAACAAGAGTTAACACATTTTTGTTACTAAGTATTATTTTTCAGTCATTTTTGTATCTCATTTTATGGGTCATTTATTTAAATAATGTTTCATAAAAGGGGAGGGGGAGTTTGGAAAGATTAATTAAAATTGTTTGTGGAACGGATATAGCGAAGTCCCGGTTATAGTGAACCGAAATTTCGGGTTCACTGTAGCGGAGTTTGACTGTAAAAGCAAATCGAAAAGTTATCCAAAATAAACGAATTGTTACTTACAATGTTACAGAACAACATAAAAGAGGATGAAAGTTTAGTTGCCAGAACGATTGAGAATAAACGGCCTAACGCAAACATACCCTAAATTAGAGAAGAGATACAAAGATAAATTATCATTGGAAAAGTATAATATAACATTTTGTATTCACATAACATTTCACACTACATTTTTAAAACACTCAAGTTCACGAGTTTAAGAAAATATTAAAGGATCAGTTCTAAAAATAGAATATTGATTTATTCCATCGATAAGGTCGAAAAAGATGCTTCGAAAACAACAGTTCCTGGTCAAATTATGAGACGCACTATAAGATTTTATGTAAAATCTTAATTATCAGTTGATACTCTATACAGCTGTATTGTTTTTATGTGACTGTTTGCACTTGTTTACGTTTGTGTATCAATTGCTGAAATTAGACGATATATAATATGAATTCGACGATTGGATACATTAGACGATATATTATATAAATATAGAATATTTATTATATCAGGTATTATATTAGTATATTATAATAATTAGACCAAATTATTAAACACACTGAAGAGTTTTAATAATGACATGTTTTGCACGAGGTTATACTAGGCAGTATTTTTATATTTAAACATACGTGTAATGGGTTTTTATTCGGGAGATTTTTTATATACTTCCCATTTGTATTTATTTTTAACGCGTTGCATTACAATGTTAACCTATTGATACAGGAGCGTAAACAAGTGCAAACAGTCTCGTAAAAACAATACAGCTGTTAATTTTGCTGTAAATTATAATTTTACATAGAATCTTAGAGTGCGTCTCATAATATGGCCAGAGACTGTATTTCCTATTATTTCTGCTCACTTTAAAGCTGACTTTTTCAAATTTATAAAAATGTTCTTCCTCCGTACTCTTCAATAGTTTTAGGTCATATGGTTTTTCATTCTTTTATTCAAAAATATATATAAACATCAAAAAATATATATACATATAAATCAAAATTTTATAATAATTCGTAAGGATTTTAAACCCGATTACACAACATTTTCACAAAATTGAATGATTGCAAAAGTTAAGGGCAAATTTAAGATCGAATTACATTTAACACATTTTTCTGCGTGAAAAGAAGAAAGTGCATGAGGTGAACATTGGTGAACTTTGTTTGTTAGAACAAACAAAGAGCTTAAGTTCTAGAGCACCAAATCAAACGAGATTTTAAAATAATATACAATTGAACTATGACAAACAGTTTACGCCATGATCCATGAGCATCTAAGCAAAATGGTTCAAAAATAATATAATAAAATGGCACCTGGGGAAAGTTTAATATGGGGAATAATTTCCCTTTTGGGCTGGGTAGATCTCTCAACGAATTCTCTTGCTTTTTTCAAAGTAATTAATAAAGTCTTCGAACAGTAAACCCTAATCCATAAAGGAAGCTCTATTAATAAAATTTTCAGACTCGGGAGACTTCTATAGTGGTGGTGAACTATGGAAGTCTCCCGAATACATACCCTGCATACTATAGAAGTTCTGTGAACTTCTATAGTTCTATAGTTCACTATAGAACTTCTATAGTGAACTATAGAAGTTCTATAGTCTCTGGCCATACTATTAGACGCACTATAAGATTCTATGTAAAATTATAATTATCAGGTGATACTCTATACAGCTGTGTTTTGTTACGCTACTTTTTGCACTTGTTTACCTTCGTGTATCACTTATATAAATTATTCAGTGGCACCCCATACCATTACTCCAAGTGATGGGCCATGTCGAGTGCAAGCTTCCAATGGGCGTTCTCGCCAAACACGGATGCGGCCATCATGATGCTGTATACAGAATCTGGATTCGTCTGAAAAGACGACGGCATGCCATTTCTGCGTTCAGGTTCGTCGTTGATCACGCCATTGGAGGCGCCTGTGATGCAGCTTCAAGGGTAGCCGAAGGCATGGTCGCCGTGCTGACAGTCCATGCTGCTACAAACGTAGTCGAACTGTTCCTGCAGACACTTGTTGTCTTGCAAATGACCCCATTTGTTGACTCAGGGTTCATGACGAGCTGTACCATCACTTAAGACCATTTGGATAACATGTCTGTCTTCTCAGCTGTAAGTGATGGGTTGGGCGTTGAGATCCTGCACGGCGTTCCATATGACCGTCCTGAATCCATCGATTCCATATTCAGCTAACAGTCATGGGATCTCGACCAACGCGAGCAGCAATACTTCGGTATGATAGACCGCAACCCCGGTAGGGCACAGTTCGTCCTCGATCAAACTTAGACGCGTGCTGGTAACAACGCTCAAATTCAATTTGTGTATGAGAAACTTAACTGTCAAATCTCTTTTTTTTAATACACATTGTAGATGTCTCTACCGCCGCCTGCTTTGCATGATAAGCTAATCATTTGCATACCACGACATGCTTCATCCGTCCTGCAAATTTCACGTTCGTGGAGTGTCGCCTTCCCGGTTTCGTAATTTTAATGACCAGTAGTGTATATTCATATGAAATTTCTCTCTTAATTTGATTCACTATTTCTTGATTATCCTCTAAAATGAGCTTTTATCAGATGTCCATCAGTATCCTTAGATATCAATAACGTATAAAAGGTCAGTCGCGATAACTCAGTGCAAAGAACAATAAGCTGCCATTCTAAAGGCTTTGATAGGAACCTCATTATAGGCAGATTGCAGTGTACCCAGTTTCAGATCAATGGGTCCCTTTTGCCCAATGATGACCCTATTGCCATAATCATTCCATTGGTCACGAAGTTATGTTGTCTTAGCCAACATGAACCCCTTGGTCCTCTGCGGTAGTGCAAAAATATATGTATAAGGTATCCATTATGAGGAAGTTTATTTAATATTTTTAGAATCATTTTAAAGCACGTTCATACAAAGGTGTCGCAAATTATTATTTAAAAAAATCAACTTTCCAAACAATGATATTTCTTCTAACTAATGGAAAGAGCAATTAAGGGATTAAAAACATCATCAAAAGCAGTTTTATTTGTTGAGTGAAACTGGTACACTTTTTCCTTCATGTAAGGGCAACCCTTGAAGTTCATCCTCTCCTATTTGATGATTTCAATTTCCCCTTTACTATTTTTCACCTAAGTGATGGATCCTAATTTTTATAAGTTTTTATTCGTCACTTAAGTATTCATTACAAAAAAACCAATTACCAATTTACTTGAGCTCTATAATCGAAGACTTTACTTGACCAATAGCGAATGCAGTTTAATCACATCCGAAAATATGTGAAGACTGTTCGTTGACCCGATTAAGTTTAATAATGGTTCTCCATAGCTTGTAAAAACTTTTGTCTTATTCGAATTTAAATACCCGTTCCCCTGATGCCAAAATACTTTATATCATTCTCTAAAGCGATTTTAAAAATGTATGGTATTAAGGGCAGTCATTGAGAAACACTCTGTTTATCTAATCACCGGGCTTCGAAAGGAGGATTGACTGATTTCAAAAATAAAAACTCAAGGAACAAATAGAGATAGGGGAAGGAAGAAAAAAATTGTGTGTCTATTGGTGAAAGATATAAAAATTTTAAGCAGACATTTTGGAATTTTGCGAAAATTACCAATGCCATAGATAAATAAGATCATCTGTGTGACACTAAAATAACCTGCACATTTATCGAGTCCAATATAGTACTAGAAGACCGATGACGCTGTTGGTCAAAATACAGGACTCCTAATCGAGTACAAAAACCACCTTTCACGTTTTAACGCTAGAACTGATCACTTTAGTTATCCGTGACTTTGAGCTCCATCTGCTTGCAATTTTCGTAGCTAATTAACAAAATTTCCGTACAAACTTTTTACAGCTTTCACAATAAACATACCGTTTGTTTCATTCCCCTATATCCCTTATTTTCCGATATTTTTAATTTTGAAATCAGTCAAGTTCTCCTTCATGTACCCAACGCGTTGTTATTAAATTGCTTCTTAGAATAAATTGATTGGTTTACTTTGACCAGTAAATTGCACATTTAAAACTAAACAAATCGTATGAAAGAAATTCTTGACTTACCCAAAAAAGGGCATTCAAATAAGCTGCGTGAGATTTATGAACTTTAATCGGGCCTTTCACAGCGTATGAATAAATAAAACCTCCATAAGCTGCCTGAAATTAAAAAAACAAAATATTAGTAAAATCAAAATCACTAGAATGAAATCAAAAAGATTTCACAATTTACATTGCATAATTTTTTTAAAACTAGAGCGCTCCCCTTTTTCCTTACTTCTTCTAAAATGTAACGTAAAGCGAAAGAAGTGAGACAAAAATCGTAAAAGAAGCACTAACTTTCGAACAAATAGGTATTTCAAAGAGAAGTTCATAAACAAATAGGGTCCTTTCAGCATGCCAAACTTTGATTCTGTTGTTGCATTTCTTCGGAGAGTTGCATTCTGCAGAGTGGCCCGCATAGTATTTTTTTACTTACAAGCTTAACAATTGATAATTCTCGAATGCAAATTTTTTTAAATTCCATTGAATTCCGTTTACAAATTTTTATATAGCTTCGTGACTTCAATTTTCTAAGTCTTATAAAAAAAAAACAGTATGAAACAGGAAAGCCAACGAAACAAAATGTAATGTCGAACGCCTAAAACAACGGCGGAAGAGTTTACAATTTCTTTTATTAAAGTGATATTCAATGGAAAATTATAATTTTTTAATTTCATTGTACTCCGCGTAAATTTTTTTTCAAACTTCGTGATTTCAATTTATTAAGTCTTATAAAAACAAAAACAGTATGAAACAGGAAAACCCACAAAACAAAATGTAGCGTAAAGTTGAACAGCGGTGGAGGGGCTTAAATTTTTTTTTTATGGAGAGATTCAATGGAATACAATTGTTATTTTTTTTTGTTCCAAATTTCAAGATAGAATTATTCATTTTAATTCTAAAGGAAAAAAATGGAACAATAAAAAAGAAGAAAAATGCGATTACGAATAAGCTAAGAAAACAGCACGCAATGAATTATTTATAGTTACTCATGAATAATACATTAACGTGATGTCTACTTTTAGTTTTATTAGTTTTAGTTTCTAATAAATAAATAAAACATTAACTGTAACTGACACGAGAAATTGAGATGAATCACATAAGTAATTCCAGAGGTCAATCAATGAATTTTAATTCCCAGTCTTCGTCTCATGGTCAATTTAACGAAATTATTAGGTGAGGAATTATTATTTATAGTAACAACTTTTCTTTTCAGTTTTATTTAGTATCTCTGATCCTTCTCTTCCTTCAATCGGTATCAGTGGAGATACAGGTTTGTCCCGTGAAAAAAAGGCCCTAGTGGAAAATTTCGGGGCAACACGAAGAAGAAAAACAAACAATCTATATGTATTGAATAACATGGACATGGTATAGATAAAAATAAAGCACGTAAAAAAGCTGAAAACACTGCTTCATTCAAATTAATACAACATATAATTTGACCTTGTGACAACCTGTCTATAACCTTGTGACAACCTAGTAATATTTTGACATTTTATTTTTTACTTCTCATTACTTTTTATTTTATTTTATAACCGTCGCTATACAGCGGCATCCAATTTTGAGTTCAAGACTACTAACGTTCAACACCGTAGCCTTGTCAATTTGTAACCAATCCAGAAGACAAGGGAACTCTTGGATCAAGCATTGGATGAAAACCTCCCACTTTTAGCTTGACGGCAAGGGGACTCTAACCTAGGGTCCGTCTAACACTGAGGATATCTTAAGTCAGCACTGTGGTCGGTACAAGCAGAATGCTAAATTCATATCGACCAGCCATCGCAGGAATTCGAACCCTGTTCACCTCATTTGAAGGCGACCGCTTTATTCCCTGAGCCACCATAACTCAAACATTTTTATTGAAATGAACATTGGTAGAAAATTCTAAAAAATTTGATTGAATTTTGGTAGAAAAATACTACCAAAATTTTACGCATTTTTAAGTTTTTCTCGTCAATGTTCTATAGTTCAGCAATGATTCGTTCGCAAACATTTCCCATGCGTTTTTCAAAAAAAAGAATTTAAAAAAAAAATTATAGCAGATTGCGCTGTTATTACTCTTATTTCCGTGTATTTTACGAGGGGGTTAACAAAACATTTTTCCTTTGTATTTTAATAGCATTTTTGGAGGCAGGGTATCCTTACCAATGTATCAATCAAGGAACAGAGCGACAGAGATTTTATTTGACAGAATTTAGACCATCTTGATCTATTTTCTTGTCATAAATATTTTTAAAAAAAAATTTAAAAAGTCGCAAAACAAAATAATGAAAAGATCTAATCTCTATACTATTTTTTTTAAAATTTTTTGGAGTGCTCCTCAGACTATTGTATTGACATATTTTGCTTTAGCTATATTTGATACAATATAAGAAAACACTCCGTTTTGCGGATAGGATATAAGCGTGTGAGTTTATATCTTTTCACTATTTGGTTTTCCGGCTTTTAATATACATATATATATATCATATTAAGTGTAATTTTTGGTGATTCACATGTTCGCATTTAAAGCATGCAGTTTTTAATAGTTAATATAAAGTGGTTGTGACCTGCAATCCATCATAAAGGAACATTAATATGGCAGAAAGAACTGTGACGATCACCACTTGATATAAACTTCTAGGGGATTGATCTGATCCACAGTGATTCTCCGCATCTGAAACAACAAATATCATTTAGTACTTCAGAGTGTTGCGTAATTACCACCCTTCATATTTTTGTTAACAGAATCGTTTTTATTGAACTCCTTCTAGTGGCAACAAAAAATATTTAACTTAGGTCGGCAAACTTACAGTCCCTGGTCAAATTATTAGACGCACTCTGAGATTCTATGTAAAATCTTAATTATCATGTGATACTCTATACAGCTGTATTGTTTTTATGTGACTGTTTGCACTTGTTTAAGTTAGTGTATCAATGGGTTCAATGAGACGATATATCACATAAATTTGACGATATATTAGATAAATATAAAATATTATATCAGGTATTATTTTCGAATATTATAATAATTAGATCAAATTAACTCACATTAACTCAAATTAACTCACTGTGGTTATTCAATAATGACATATTTTGCAGCAGTTTATAGGCAATACTCTTATATTTAAACATACATGTAATGGGTTTTTATTCAAGTTCTTTATGCTTCCTATTTGTATTTATTTTTAACGTATTGCATTACAATGTTAACCCATTGATACACGAACGTAAACAAGTGCAAACAGTCACGTAAAAAACAATAAAGCTGTATAGAGTATCACCTGATAATTAAGATTTCACATAGAATCTAATAGAGTGTCTAATAATTTGGACTGTATATCTCCAGTAGACGAAGGTTAATGGTTTTTGTTCTTTACCTCCTTCAAACAATGGCAGAAAAAGCGATTTTCACTTAGAAATATGAAGCATAGAGGTACGTAAACACAAGAATGCATTGAAATATATTTTTTTCCATAAAAATTCAAATAGTTAAGCTCAATTAACTTTTTGTTGGTTATTTTTTAATTATTAGATAAAAGAATTGCAAATTTTAATTATTTTTTTTTAGCATTTGTTGCATATTGTAAAATAGACACGAAACAAAATCTACTAGACATAAATAGTAAAATATTAAGATGGCCGAATATAAAATATTAAGATTAATAAAATAGTAAGATGGCCGAATATAAAATATTAAGATTAATAAAATATTAAGATTAATAAAATATTAAGATTAATAAAATTAATAAGATTTTAAATCTTATGAATTAAAATTAATAAAATTAGAAGATCAATAAAATATTAAGATGTCTAAGAGGTGGCTTGAATTGAATTTTTTACCTTTCTTATGATTTTGCATTGTGAGAAAACATATTATATTTTTACTCATACAATGCTTTCACACACATATAAGGCACATGAACTCAGAAAATATTATCTTTTAAGTAATAAAATTCTACCAAATTTTGTCTAATATATTATACACCGTCTTAAGAAGTTGTATAAAACAGTTACTTTTTCTCAATCAGTAAAAAATTTTTTAAAAAACCAAGTATAATTAAGCGGCGAAAGCTGATATTTATCTGAAAAGGAACAAAAACGATCTCAGACTCCGATTCATACTTATTTAGGCCAATCGAAGCAAAAGAGGGATTAAAAAAAATTAAAACCAGTTTATTTCCAGATGACTCTTTAAAGTTTGTTCCATGTTTGCTATGCAAATAGGTTTTTCAGGGATTGTATTACCTAATTTCTTGGAATATATGTAAAAAGGAAAATATCTAAAATATCTTGGATATATCTAAATATAAATATAAATAAATCGAAATATATATCTTGGATATATCGAAATAAATCGAAATATAATATATCGAAAATATCTTGGAATATATCTAAAGGAAAAATATACCTTTTGTTGAGATAAAAATTGATTTGAAATATACTTAAAAAAATATCCTACAACTAAAGTTAGAACTAAAATTTGTTATTTTTTATGTAATTATTAAAAGTTATTTAAAAGTTAATTGGTTTAATTAATAGAATTTATTTTTAAAAAAATATTTTATCGCATGAGCCACTCCAGCTACATATTTCTAAATATAAATCACATTTTTCGCCATTATTTAAAACTCGGGTCTCAAAAGTTTAAAGCAGAATCTGCAGAAATTCTATAAAAAATCGAATAGTTTTTCCTGCTTTTGAATCTAGTCCAAAAATTGTTGAATTTAACCTTGGTTGATCTTTGTCTCGGTAAAAAACAAATGAATAAATAAAAAATAAATAAAGCTGTTTATATTGATTTCATTCTAGCTTGAGCCTATGAGCGTGAATGTTGCAGATAAAAAATTAACATAATACGTTGAATTTGAGAAACGTGAGTTGCTCGTATTCATTTATTTTTAAGACGTTGTTTAATCATTGACATTATTATATCGTGTTTCATTCGCACGTGCTAAGAGAATAAAATCTTCGTTTTTTGAGAATGCAACATCATTCTTTTAGAATGAGATAAAAAAAAAGTTATATAATTTGATTTGGAATTTACGGGCAATGTTTAAAAAAATTAAACACAATGAACATCACAAAATGTGGTATTTAATTGTTTAAAATGTCATAAAACATACGTGGATTATTTTATCCCCTTTTTTTATAAAAATGAAACGTAATCAGAAAAAAAACTGAGGAAGAAAATTAAAAAATAAATAAATATCCTTTTGTACTTCATTTTTTGATAAATTCTTAAAAAATATTCATTAAATGGGGGAATTACAAAACATCCTGTACGTTAATAGAAAATAAATAAATAAAATTATAAATGGGAAGTAAAGCATAAAAATATAATAAAATAAGAATAAATGATAACTCTAAAATGAAATAATGCTACGTGCAGTGCACGAAAAAAGAAATAGGAAAAAGAAAAAAAACACAAATCCCTCAATAACTTTTGATTTAATGATTGGATTTCGTACAAAGACTCCATCATGAGCCGCGGTGGGTCAGGGGATAGAGCTTCCGCCTTCCAATGAGGTGAACCAGGTTCGAATCCCGGCGATGGCCGGTTGATTCGAATTCCGCCCCCGGCTTGCACTGACCACAGTGCAGACGTAAAATATCCTCAGTGGTAGACGGATCATGGGTTAGAGTCCACTTGCAGTCACGCTGACCGTGGGATGTTTTCATGGTTTCCCTCTCCATGTGCCGCAATGCGGGTTAGTTCCATCAAAAAGGGCAAACTCCGTAGCCTTGTAATTTTGAATCCAATCCAGAAGAACCAACCCAGAATTCCTGGATCAAGTATTGGGAGAAATTTGCCTTCGTGGAGGACCTTCAGATGGAACTGACCCCGCATTTACGTTACATGAAGAGGAAAACCTCCTACGATTAGCCTGACTTCAAGGGGACTCTAACCCATGATCCGTCTACCATAGAGGATATTTCACGTCAGAACAGAGGTCGGTGCAACCCGGAGGCTGAATTCGTATCGACTAGCCATCGCTGGGATTCGAACTCGGTTCAACTCATTTTAAGGTGAGCGCTCTATCCCCTGAGCCATCACGGCTCTGTTGAACAAATAGAAACAAAGGGATGAAACCAAAGTAAAAGGACAAATTAAAAAGAAAAAAAAATAACTTAGAGAACGAGTGTTCAACTCGCCTTCCATACTCTCGTAATCTTTCGTCAGCTTTTCATCTTTGTTTTTAGATCCTCCACCCATCCACTGCAAGCAGTGCTTCTTACCAAGAAGTGAAAAAGCCAGCAAAACGACTGGAACCTGAAATGAAAAAAAATTTTAAAAAAATCAACAAAAAAGTTGTGTCGCCTTATTACCATCACTGGATACCCTTTAGTCAAATGCTTTTTCCTTCTGGATGGTCTCCGTTAAACATTTCAAATCATGGGTTGCATAAACTGTCATCAATTGATGTTTGATTTTCATATCCCTGCCTATGTAAGCCGTTTCACAAAATACTTTTCCTTCTTCAGTATTCATATTTATATTGAAATCACCGTCAAGACAGTCATTATACATTAAAAGTAAAAAAGAATGTAAAAATACTTTAAATTATTATTGTGTAAGTGCATTAGAAATGCCTGCTAGTGAAAAGAAAAAGAAAAGCAGCAGCGGTCGCCATAGTAACGCATGCAATGACGACGCATGCGCACTGCTTATTATTACTCTTGAACACTGTTGAAAAGTGTGGGGATGACATCACATCCAAACCAAGACCCATTTTGCCAAAGGGTAATAAACAATAGACTAACAATGCCTAAGGAATAACCTAAGGAATGCCTAAGGATAAACAATGCCTAAGGAAGTCATTTTGACTGTGCTTTTAATTTCAATTAGAAAAGCAATAATGTATATAATGACACAATTTCACAGAATTTTGTACAACATATAATTTTTTTTAGTGTTACTATTTATTACTAACTTGTTATGTAACTGTAAATAATATAAAAAATATTAAAAATTAATTTTAAACAAATTTCTTTACACATTCTTTTACAATCCAGTCATTTTGACTGCTTTTGGGCAATATAGGTATATACTAAGTTTCAGTCTTTCTAGTGTTAAAAGTCCATCTACAGAACTGTCTGCTGTTATGAAACAAAATGTAGCACATTTTAGAGAGGACACCTTTTGATATGTCTCTTGCTGAGACCTGTCGAAACTTGTCCAAAGTAACACCCCTAGTGGAAACTGTTCAACCTCGCAACCATAGTCATTGACAGTGCTCCAGAAAGATCTTCAGATAAAAGGACTATACTTCAAACTTAGTTCTTTATTGGAAAATTAAACACTGTGAACATCAAGTTGATCATAATAATCAGTAAACCTCAGATTACGAGAACGATTTTTGTTCTTTCCACCCATAGGTATGAAATTGATACCTCTTTTGGTTTTCTTTCCTACAAGGATTCTAAAAAATATAGTGGGATGAAAATTAAGTTTCTGCGTTTTTTTTATTTCTTAAAATTTAAAAATGAAAGAGCCTTGTTCTGCCAGCTATCTTGACGGTTGACGCAAATTTTCATTGAATCAAACTACAGCCACACCGGTACCAGATGCGTCTTTGAGGCCAAAATTTCCATTTTTATACGTAATAGAGCGATTACAAGCGATTTATTCAGCTATGGCATCTATTCCATGCACTACACAAATGTCACAAGCAGCTTTTGTGGCCTTAGAATCTCGATTAAAAGCAAAAAGATAAGAAAGTATCGAAAATCGTCATTTTTCTCCACTTAACATTTTATTTAAATAATTAGAAAATGAACATAAATTGACCCGAACATAAAATAAATGTTATAAGATATTACACAAAAATAATTTAATGTCCTGCAAATGTAAAATTTAGAAAGAAAAGAAAAACGGTGGGAACTTAATTGATGACCCAATATATTTATTATATTATTTTTAGTTTTTTTTAAAAATATATGATGATTATTTTGATTCATTATATTTGTCAATCAATTTGAGTTCTTGTAATTTTTTTCTCATACAGACGGTGTCAGGCATCCGAGTAATAGGCAATTGTGTCAAACCCTACTTAAACTGCAAAAACCTACCAGCAACGAAATTCATCCAATAGAAATTTATTCATTTCTTGAACACATATTTCCAGCTATGTCCATTTTCTTAAACACGTATTTCCAGCTATATCCATTTTCTTAAACACTCATTTCGAGTTATGTCCATTTTTAAAGCACTCATTTCAAGCTGTGTCCATTTCTTTAAACACTCATTTCGAGCTATGTCCATTTTCTTAAAGATTCATTTCGAGCTATGTCCATTTTCCTAAACACGCATTTCGAGTTATGTCCATTTTATTAGACACGTATTTCGATCTATGTCCATTTTCCTAAACACGCATTTCGACCTATGTCCTTTTTCTTAAACGCACGTTTCGCACCATGTTCATTTTCTTACACGCGTATTTAGAGTTATTTACATTTTCCTAAACACGCTTTTCAAGCAGTGTGCAGAATAGAAAATTTACCTAGACGATCAGTTATAAATCACCATCATTATTAGTATAAGAAAGATGATTACCATTGTGAGAGCCATAATAATGAAGGCATAATCGATTTCTGTCATGTTCCTGGCCTCCTCCAGTGTCGATGCTGGCAGAACTTCATTCTCATCTTCCGGAAACAGAGGTTCGGTGTCATTTGAAATAAATGGTGAACAGTCTTCATTCAGCAGAAAAGGTTGAGCTATCATGGGGCTGAGAAAGGCACCGACTCCATAAAAAAAGTGCAAAGCCTAGATTTCAATCGAAATGCATTTAGAACGATTATATTAAAATTATATGACAAATTAGCACATACATATATGTGTGTGTTACTGTGAATGTTAATGACGACTTCCACAATATCTAATATATAATTTATTTATTTCAAACAATATTTATTAGCGAATTAAGGGATTCCCGCAACCGATCGTTGCAGTGCACGGCGGCGAAGACCACATTGACGCCTTCATTGCGCACCAGCCACCTTTATTATGGATCTGAAGCTTAAAGGGGTTCAAGCTACCTCTGAGAATCTTTACAATGATAACTCAGTACTCATAACTAACAACTTATAATAAGTTAAGGTATCTGACAAGTGCGAAAACATGATTTTGGACAAAATTTTAGGAATTGGGTTTATTATAAATTTAAAATGCCTGCAGTCGTAGCTTTCCATTAATACTTTACTTTTGCTTGTACCCTAATTATTCGAAAAGTTATAGCAGTTTTTGTGCTCGGTGATAACTGTTGGATAGACTATTGATTTAAATCCTATAAATGCGTTCTCTCGAAATCAGTTTTTTTTCCCTTCACATTTTACACCCCCTTTTATATCTCATACTGTTTTTAAAATAACTATCTACCATTTTTTATGAGTGTTTATGATTGTAGCACGCATGTGTATTGAATAACAAACAAAAGTAGAATTTTCTTTTTATGCATGTTTTCTCGCAAAGACAAGTGCGGAAATTCTTAAAAATATGCTTTTTTAACTATACAGATCCCTAACTCAGGAGTATATGCAATTGCTTTTAAGATGATAGTTCAAAACATAGTTGATAGTCTTCTAAATTAAATCTTCGAAGGATTTTTTATTTTGGGCAATATTTTTTTTATAGTGTTTAATATAACAGGGGGAAAAATTATTTCTTACATAAAAATGGCTTTTAACAAAAAATAAATTAATAATAATTTTTCTGCTAGTTTTATATACACATAATGAAACATATAAACTAGTTTTTTAAAATTTTACATTAATATTTTAAAAAAAAAGTTGTCGAAACTTGTCGGATACCTCAATTAATTGTTTAAAATAAAATTACATAGGTCAAACGAATTTTATCGTAAGTATAAAAAATTGTTAAGCTTATTTCGATAAAACTTTATTTAGAATTGAAATTAGTAACTGCAAAGCTAAAATTATATTATGTCAAACAAATGTTATCATATATAAAAAGGCACTATTTCAATCTAAATTTAATTAGAATATAATATAGCAACTATTAAATTAAATTTTTATAAGTCAAAGAAATTTAAAAAAAAAAGTGATAAGTCTATTTCATTTTGAATTGTAACTGAAATAAAACACCATTTATTAAACGAATATTATTCCGTAAAGACAACCCTTGATAAGTACTTTCAGAAACCTTATCTAAAATGTAAACAAAAAAAAAAGTATACACATTAGGGGATTTATGTTTCAACGAAACAAAATTTGGTAAATTATGGAAGGGAAGATGGATGATAAAAATACTAAAAAAAAACAAAAAGTAATAGGATTTAAGATCTTTTAAGATAATGCTTTAATTTGGTCTCAAAAAGTTTTGACATAGTATGCAAAACTTGAAGACGAGATTTGTTACTGAGTTCTTGTTTTGTGGCGATCGTGATCTTTTTTTTCTATAAGCATGATTGAAAATAATAGATATATATATATNGATCTATATATATTGAAAACACTGACCTGTAGGAAAGGGGAGACATCTTTTCCGTACATGCAGATCATTGTTACATTGGCCACCGTGTCGATTGTACCCATAAAAAATCCCATAACTGCCAGGACAATGGCCAAGGCCCATAAGGCATTGCATAGTGGGATGGACGCCATAGACAATGCCATCATTGTTGTTCCGACCAACAGCATTAGTTCCTTGGAAAACCTATAGGGGGAACAAACGTGTGGTAAGTATTTTAAAAATATAATCTCAAGAATTTAAACATTCCTTAACAGTAAATAAGCAAGATTTTGAGGATATTTCGCTGCGATAAAAAAAAAATCGGTATTAAACTGAGTAAAAATAATACCCGGGATTTCACTATATCCGCACTACAAATAATTTTAACTGATTTTTCCGAACTACTCTTTTTTTATTACACATTATTTAAATAAATGACCGATAAAATTACTTATTAAAATTTTAATTTAAAAAAACTTTTATTTTATATTACTCTTCGTCTTGCGTACAAAAAATTTAGGAATGGCCTTTTTTGAGGAATGGAAAATTGAGATAAAAAAAAGCAGATAAGAAGAAAAAAAAAATGCTTATGGCTACTTTCCATTTAATAGATGGTCTTAAAAATCGGTATATGTATTTTACGTAGAAATTTCAAAGTTACCAAAAAATGAAGAAAAAAATCAGTTGAAGACAGAAAAAAGTTCATAGTATCCGAATTTTCTCTCTTCTTTTGGTTCATTATATCCACAAAAAAAAAATAATATTATATGTGAATAGCAAGGCCATGGGAGCGAACATTTCGTTCATTATATCCGGGAGTTCACTATAAACCATGTTCATTGTAACGGGGTTTAACTGTAAAACTAAAATTTCTAATAAATTTTCCATGCGTTACATATTTCGGGTGTAATTTAAAACTCTAACTTTTTGTCCACTGGTGAGAGACTGAACGAGAAAATCTTTTAATTATATTCATTAAAAATTGAACATGTAAGAAATAAAATATTTTATTTATGGTGTAGTTAACAATACGTGCGTTCAGCTTCAAATTTAAATACGTGTAAAGATAAAGGATGTTTAGACAAAATATCGCGTTATTAGTATTAAAAAGGAAGATATCACACGAATGACGCGAATGTAATTTTTTTTTGATAATTAATCTTAAATTTTTGTAAAAATTTAAGATTCATTACAAAATTATTGATTTAGCATTTTAAAAAAATTCGTTAAAAAACTGCGCAAGATAGGTTTAAGATTTAAGTTAGTTTCTTTATACTGCTTATGCGCCGAAAAATTAAAAAAAAGTTTTCTCATAATTTTGTAGCGAATCGTATATAGATATAGCAACTAATGAGCTTTGTTTGAATATCTTGAAAATTTAAAAAAGTTTCAAGCAATTTTTATAAGTAGTTTTTGTATTGCTTCAAAGAAAATTCAAAACGATAAACGGTTATATACAAATTTCATCTTATACTATTAGACAAGATTTATTAAAAGTGAAATCGGTCAGGGGTCTGTCCAGACATTTTGTGAAAGGTCCGTTTNTTAGACAAGATTTATTAAAAGTGAAATCGGTATAACATACCCCACATAAGTATGTTTTCTTTGACATGTTTTCTTTCTCTGCTAAGTCAAAGTTTACTTTCCGGACGATTATTGTTAAAGGAATTATAATTTGCAATTTAATTTTGTCTCATGTCTCTCTCCAAGTCTTTCGATTGATTTTCTGGCATAGGGTGCTCAAAAATGCTTGTCTTATTTCAGAATTTATTGTAGGTCTTCTAAGCATCTGAAAGCTTTAAATCTTATTGCTAATCATGAAAAATCGCACGAACTAAACACCTCTAAAGTTATAAAATAATCCTTTGAGCATTTCTTGAAGAATTTAAACGAATTAAGACCGCGAGAACCTCCCACGGTTAGCCAGACGGCAAGGGGACTCTAACTCATGATCCATCTACCACTGAGGATATTTAACGTCAGCACTGTGGTCGATGCAAGCCGGATGCGGAATTCGAATTCATGGAGGACTTTGCGACTCGACAGATTTAACATGCATCAGTCACCATTTACTACACGGGGAGTCTACAGCCGGCGGTAGACTCCCCAATTTTATTTTATTTCTTTATAACCGTCGTTAAACAGCCAACCCAATTTTATGGGTTTACGACTACTAATGTTCAACTCCGTAGCCTTATAATTTTGAAACCAATCCAGAAGACAAGGGAACTCCTGGATCGAGTAGTGGGAGAAATTTGCCTTCGTGTAGGACTTTTTGATGGAGCTAATCCGCATTTGCGCTACATGGAGAGGAAGACCACTGAAAATATCAGTCAAAATAGAAAATGTTGATAACCTTTCCAATTAGCCTGGCAAAGAGCCAGATTATTTATTGAGCCGACCACACAAGCATTCATTACATTTCATTAATATTATAGGGCAAAATTAAGATATATTGGTGCTAGCCAGTTGTAGCAATTTTAACAATAGACACTTTTTAAAACACGTGGACACTTTTAAAAAAATTGAATATTCGGCACAATTAAAAACACATGGTTTATATTTAATAATGTAGAGCATAACTTTTGAAGAATTTCTCATTTTAGAATTAAATTTCAATAATGTAGTAAAATGTTAAGAAACAAGGTTGAAATAAAGTTGTTTCATAATATTATAAATTATGCATAATAATTCCATATTTATGATTATTTTAAATTATTTTAAGAATAATAAGATTCATTTCGAAAATGAAGAAACATATTCAGATACAAGCGTGGAAATAAAGTAATTTTTATAATTTCGTTAAATATTCATAATAATTCCATATTTATTTAAAAAATAACAATAAACAGCAAAAGAGGCGCATTTTTGACGAAAAAAGTGACGACTGGTTGGGCACACAATTTCTTAATCTCCATCTGCTATATTTAGTCACAATTTTGCTGTCCAGTACATGTTCAGTGGTTAGAGAATCGGATCTGGAAAAAATGTCCTTCCCCTTTAGATCTATGTCTAAATTGAGGAAGTGGTTATGAAAAAATTGTGATGGCGTGTCTTCGGATCATCCTCCGGGATGTTTTCCAGATCGTCTCCAATAGCAGCTCTAGTGCGACGTAAATAAAGTACATATTCAGGATATGTAATAATTTTGATCTTGCTCGTGCACGCGCATTAGGTTGTTTTTTTTTTTAAAGTGTTTTTTGTTCATTTGAAGTACAAATCATTAAAGTGTTATTGCATTCCGAGAAAGTGATGGTGTCACCCTATTTTGAAAAAAAAGAAAAAAAAGGTTTAATTAGCTTTAGCGCAGAAATCTTGTCATCACCTTTTCTTTCCGAGGACACTCTGTTTTTTGTTTACACATTCGTTTTTGGCAATTATTTTAGATAAATAATATATCCTTGAAAACTCAATGATCATCTTCGGAGCTCAATTTTTCTTGTTAAGCAATAATTATATGTTTCTATTTACTTACTGACAGAAGGTACGGGGGTTTGGACTACCATGATAACACATTTTTTAATCTTTCTCAAAAAATATTTAAAGAAACATTTTATAAATTTTTAAATCTTTACATTATGCGATTTTTCATACTTATCAGTGAAATGAAAAACTCTTGGAGGTTTGAGGGACCGACAAAAAATTACAAACGGAAAATAATGTTTTTCAGCACTTCATGCCCAAAAAGTGTACAATAAATTTGTAACTTGTTGTTTGGTTATTAAGGGCAGTAATTGCCATTAATATATACACACACATTTTATATATTTATATATATCTGTGTGTGCATATGTGTAATTATTTATAGAGATATGGACTATGGACATTTTAATAATTAATTTTTTTTTACCTTGCTTTTTTCTGCTATATCTTGAAAAATGATCAATAAAATGAAACTAAATTTTTGGAGCAATTTAAAATTAATTACAAAATTATTACTATAAAATTTGAGAAAAATGTGTCTAAAATTGAGCTATGAGTAACTAAAGTCCTCTTAATGAATGGAAATACTTAACTCTTCAGGAAATGACTTAACTCTTAAGTCATTTCCTGAGAAATATGAAAAATCTATTAATATAAAAGTGTTTCCATTATTTTGTCCAACCCCTGTAGGTGAGAGAAGCAGTAAATATGATGTTGCACTTTTTTCTTTTACCTTAGAAGATAATGATTTAATTTAACGTAATTTGCAAATATACAGTTCTACATTAGATATAATCTACATATTTAATAGTTTTATGATGGCTAATAGTTTTATGAATGGTTGATAGTTATTTAATAGTTTAATGAAAAAGTGAAGAGATTTAAAAAAAAAATCAAATTTTTGCCAACGTGTATTGTATCGAATGTTGAATTGAAGGTTCACTTAATTTTAAAAACTGACATTTATTTAAATATCAGGAAACTTTTTTCAGCATTTCTAACCAAAAAAAAAAATTCCATTCGTTCTGACGATGTTTCATGGACTAATTAGAACTAATTATGCAGAAAAAATTCTTTTGACAATTATAGAATTCAAACCTTTTCACTTTTTTATCCGTAACGATTGCTAAACATTTTTCATTAAAAACTATGTTTTAGACTTTTCCGCATTGGATTTTCGGTAAAATCCTAGAATAGCCCCCCCCCATGGCAATTTTTTGAAATCTCGCCAAGTTGGTGATTATTACATGGATCAACGTTGTTTTTTTATTATAAGAAAAACAATTTAAATTATTACAAATTTATTAAAATATTTTTAATATAATAAAAAAAACTTAAATTACAACAACAACATATCTCGCCGAAATATCTTCCAGAAACCTAGTTTGGCGCCACAGGGTGGGCCATTCTACGATCCACCTGGATTTTCTACACATATACTCGGCCTGAATCAATCTAGAACCCCAGAATTAGAGTCCAGGGGTCAGTTTAGAAGAAATTTGGGTCCGTTAACGGACCCTTCACAAAATATCTTTTCATAAAAACGGACCCTTCGCAAAATATTTTAACTTAAAAACGGACCCTTCACAAAATGATTTTTCTTTTAATCGGACCCTTCACAAATTTGTTAATCTTTATTATTATTTTGTTAATCGAATAAACCCTTTCCAGGGCAGAAAACAAGAAAGATGGATGTAAACGAATTAAGTTTTGTCTTCGGCAGACGATTCTTCCATTATTCGTCCGAAATTAATATTCTACGTTCAGCAGTATAGGCTAAA